GAAACAAACATTAAGTTCCAACTCTCTTGGTCGGACATGTTTAATTCAGCAATTACTGAATGCTTCTATATCAATGAAGATGAACAGAAAGATTGAAGAGAATGAATCAAGGACCTCTCCTGAGAATGAATCAAAGACACAAGACGACAATCAGAAACACATTCTACAAGTTCAAGTCCACCAAGAGGTACTTTGGAAAAAAAGGCTTGCCAATCAATCTACCGTCCCCTAAGTAAGCCACTGAGAATCCTATGGAGCACACAGTTCTAAGGAAACACTTGGAGTCCTTAAAAGTCAATACCCAGTCCATGGCAACTGGTTTTTATAAATTAAAAAAAATTAAATACATGATACACAAATTGCTATAACCCAAGAGCTATAGGAATAAAAAGAAGGGAGTCATTAATTACATGTACATGCTAATACTGCATGAATCCAAGAGAGATTTGTGGGGATGGTGGGTTCTCAAAGAACATTAGGAAAAGCTAGAATTCTTTTTCAAAATTGGACAAAGGTAGGATTCTAATCTTTATTTTGTTTTAAGAGTAAAGTCTGCTGCCCCTCAACTGAGAGTGGTAGTCTCATGAAAATGAAACTGTCTGGGATGTAACTTTTAGCTTCAACATTTGCAAACTCTATGATCAGGTGACTTAACTTGTCTGCACCTCACGTTGCCCATTTGTAAAAAAAGATTATTAAGAGTAACCACAGGTGATTCCCCTGAAAAGAAGCAAAGTTACTAGCAGCTGAAATGCTTTAAATAATGGACAATGTACATTACATCAACAATAAATGTTAACTGTTTTCAACCCAGAAGAAATGTTTTCTGTGAGTTTCCAATATGCTACACCAATTTATAAGAAAAGCAGCTTCTGAGGAAGTGGCTATTTCTACACTCAGTGTTCGACCCATGAGCACCCAGAACGCTCTCTAGCCTGACAATCCTGGAGGAAAAAAGAAAAGAAAAGCAGCTTTTCAGTTCTACGTTGCATTTGTAAAGTCAATTTTAAAACTGTGTCATTTCTTTTTAAAGAGAGACCAGAAAGAGCAAAACTTGATTCTAGACAGCGAAGGTAATAAAGGAGAAACACCTTACTTCCCAAAGGCCACATCCTCTTAGATACAGGGCAAGCAGAGCTTTGACTGTATTACAAACACTTCAAGATAAATTTACCAAATATAGGATGATTAACAGCTAAACTAATGACTTAATCACCTTCCTCTCTCTCTCTCTCTCTTTTTTTTGCTGTTGTTGTTCCTCCAACTTCTATAGGCCAACAGCAGACCAGTTCACTTTCTGCGTATCACACAGGAAAAGAGTTTGAGCCCACAGCATTACTCAAAAATATGTGACTTAAACAAACAGAAAGGTTTCCATTTTAAAAGCAAAGAAATGAGGGCTGGGTAAATTTTATTGTCTGTTCTTTCCAGAGTGTTGCAATCTCCATGCAACCAAGGTCTTAGATTTGGCTGGTCCGCTCACGAAATAAGGGAAAGAAGAGGCAGGCTGTAAATTCTGGTAAGGGTTTTATCAGATAAAAGTACAGAACACAGAAAGTGGCGTCAGAAATTTACCTTCCTCAGTACAAGCTGAAATTGTACTGCATTACATAAAGTAAAAAGTCCCTGAAGGCTGCACCCCTGGGTTCAAGTCTCTGCTCTGCCATTTATCAAATAAATCTGTGTCATCAGAGACAACAAATACTTAAGCCCTCAGTTTCTTAATCTGAAAAAAAATGTGGACAATAAGTGGATTTCTTGTGGAAATTAGTTATACCTGAATAGTATTTAGACTAGTAGCTGGAATATCACGTTGCATGTACACTTCCATATACTGTATGTATAGGCCGCTCTCACTCTTATACAGTTATATTAACTAACCAAATAAAAACTGAAATAAACGTGGTATGATGTTTATTTTGCATGCAGAGCTGAGGATGGTCGCAGTTTATAGCTGAAGATTTCTCCTAACATGGTTAAATAAGTTTCCAGAAAGTACTTTCAGCAATTGATGCTTGAGTCATTTACCGTCAGATACATTACACTTGCCATTATTATTTTTTTTCATTTAAGTACCCCAGATTTGAGAATATTTTAGAAAATACAGAAACCACCTGCCTACTGCTATCTTCTAGGTATCCCAAAAGGTCACAGTTAAAAAGTTTAAAGTAATGTCCATATATTTTAGGAGCTAAATATAAAAATAATAGAGATATTAATAACCCGATTGACACAGGACAGAGCGGAGTTTAGGGCTGTTGTACATAGGGTCGCTATGAGTCGCAAGAGACTAGAAGGCACATAACAACAACATTAATAACCCATTGCTTCTGTGAAGTATGCAAACAACTTAGTTTACAAGTGGAACAATCCTTTACTAAAGAAAGAAAAGAAACACTTAAACCTTCATTAATTGTCATGACTTGATTAAGATTCAGTGACCTTACCAGGAAGAGTGAACTGCCCCAAAGACTTTCCAAGGCTGTGAATCTTTCCTTACAGAATCAGAGCTCAAAGCTGCTGTTGGGTTTGTATCACAGGCTTTTTAGTTAGTAGTCAAGCACTTTAATAACACAGCTACCAGAATTCCTTCCATAAAAGGTAAGTATTGTAAAAATATAATGAAAAGCTGAGGAATTATCATTAACTTTAAAATAACACTTGCATTAGGACTTCCTTGAGTAGAGGTACAAAAGCAAGACAGCCTTTTCCTACCCTAGAGTAATGCTTTTTTTCCTATAAACTACGACTTAAGTAAAAATGTGTCCAGGGTCACTGCAGACCTGCACTCACATAGAAATACATATACAAGTTGAGATTTCAAATGTCCCTCTGGAAATGAAACTCTCTTATCACTGGCCTCTGGTCCATACTTGAAAGGGGCTCATGAGCTGCTCCTGCTGTGGCTTCAATTCTTGTCCCTTAGTGGACTGGGGTCAACACTAAAGCTGGCACCACCTTTCCTTTTTTCTGGTCTCTTGGGTTCGCCTGCTCTTTGTCAAGTAGATATCGATTTGTGCTGAGTGTGCAATGTTTTTTAAAAAAAAATTCCGATCACAAATTATTTTAATGGTCCTATGGAAGCACTTAAGAAACTGATTCACAGTCAGTATCATGACTGGAAAGGTGGAAGGTCAGCAAAGGAGCGGAAGACTCCGGAGATGGGCTGATACAGTGCAGCAACAGCTCAAATGTGGCAGAGATGGATAGCACAGGACAGGACCGTGTTCATATCTATTATTCATACGATTGCTATGAGTTCTGGACTCCACTGCCTGGCACTTAACAACAACAAAGAGACTCTAGTGGAGAAGTCTCCAAAGTTGCACTTTCTTTGATTTGGGAGCAGTTTCTTAAGGGAGTGTTTTGGACAACAGAAAACACCTCTTGTTTTTGTGGGGAATATGAAAGAAATAAGTTTAAACATAAGAAGAGATGAGAAATCACATAGTCTTTCAACTGGAATTTAAGTTTTATCAGAAAAAAGGATTAACATTTAGGACTGAAGCTCAAATTATTTATAAACTGCCAGTAAAAGGCCCCTTTTGAATTTAAGGATAATTGAGGGTGGAGTGTGGGGACTGACTGTGATATGGAGCCAGAGAGAAAGTGACTTCCTGACTTTCTGAAAGTTTTGAAGAAATTTTCAAAAATATCAAATATTATCTCAAGTCTATGACTATGTATGCTACCCAGTTAACTTTGTGAGATATGCTTGCAAAGTCTGTGTTTTTTAAAAAAGCTTGCGAAAACGCCACAGTCACCTTTTTTGTTTTATTTGTATGTACTTTATTTTTATTGTTTTCTTTTTTTTCTAAGTGCTGGGGGTCCATGGAGGTAAGAGGCCTCTACACAACTACACACCATTAGCACCAATATATGTCCAGGAAACTCCTCTCAATTAGTAACACACTACAAGTCCAGAACTCGCTAACAAAAAGCAACCGACAGACTTAAGCCTGAACTCCCAGGATTTCCTCCAATTTTTAACCACCCCGAGAATCCCGCTGGCGAAGGCCCTCCGGGTCCGCCCCGGGCCATTCCCAAGCCGGCCGGCCAGGAGGCGCTGCGCTCCAGTCCCCCACGGCCCGCGCCCCCTCCTCCGCCGAGCTCCGAGTTCCACACCGCCCGCCGGGGTTACTCGCGGTCATTCCGCGGCAGTCTCGCCCAAGCTTCCCCGTCCGTGCCCCGCCTGAGGTTGCCCCAGGAAACATGCAGAAAAGGGCGAGAAGATTGGGGAGGGGGGGTAGTGAAGTGGGTACCCCAGCTCCAAGATTCCGCAGGTTCTCCTTTGCTAAAAGTCTTGTGTTTTTTAAAAGAGCAAACTCCATTCCCTTGGGTCCGCTAGGGACAATAGTTTGGGTGCGCGCACGGAGACTGCAAACTGGATCCCAGGACAAAAGACAGCCCCCCCGCCCCTCCATGGCCTCAAGAAAGCAAATGCACTGGGGACCTTGTTTTGGAGTGCATCCTATCCGAGTTCTTACGGGAACAGGGCGCGCCTCTCCAGTCCGGGGGGCGCACGGACTCGATCCCCACGTCCATAGCCAACTCCGTTTCACAAGGCTGGAGGGGGCCAGGAGCTAGCATTTGTTCCAGTGGGCGCCGGCTAACCTGAAATCTGAGGGGTTTCTAGCCGGCACCGGCGATCCCGAACAAAGGGATTCGCTAGGTGCCAGATCGCCACTCTCCGCACCCCGGCAGCCACTGACCCCGCTGCATCCAAGGCACTGTGCCCCAGGTCCCCATATCCGGAGATGCTCCTGAAGCTCCAACGCCGAACAAGCCCGGAGCACAACCGCGTCGCGTCTTACGGTCCCCAGAACTCGTCCTAGGACGTCTTCTCCCCTCTTACACTGCCCTCGCTCCGTTTTTGTTGCAAGTGGTGGAAATAAGGGGGTCCTGACCGAAGCTCCCCGGAACCGAGAGCTTCCCAAACCTTCCTCCACCCCTGCAAAGAACAAAAACTATAACGCCAGAGACACGAGAGAGCCTCTTACCTGTTCTCCACTTTTCTGTCACCGTCTCTTTCCCCTACCCCTTGAAAAGCCCTTCCGGAGAAATGGGGAGGGGGGAAGAAAATCAGCAAAGCGCCCCCAGACACTGGCACTGGCGGCGTTGGGGCCGCAGTACCCCCTTCCTGCCCACACGCTGCGGGGGAGAGAGGTGTCCGCTCCTCTCCGCCGACCCGGCCCCTCTCACTCGCCCTCGGAATTACGGGGTTTTTGCCGGGACTAGTTCCTTTTATAGATTCGGCTGCGCCGAATGCAGGGGTTACTATCGGTCAAAGCCTGTTCTCTCCCTCCTTCCCCCGCCCCCTTTCCTGGCCTCTGTTTATGTAGTTCAGTCACTCAGCAGAAAGCACGTGGAGCCGGGGCCCGCCCCTTAAATGGGCGACGTCGGGCAGCTCCAGGCCGGGCCGTGGGTGGAGTGAAGGAGTAAGACCTGGAACCCTAGGAGGGAAACTGGGTTCAGTGCTGTGCCTCAGCCCCTGCCATGCACACTGGGGTAGCAGCGGAGGTCGCTTCCTCTAAATTTGCTTGAGATTTTTTTTTTTTCACCTTTGTCAGTTTATTTAGTCTGAAGAATTAAGGGAGAGGGACCCTGGATAACAAAACTTTGAGCCTTTCAAACAGCACTCTGCAAGCGGCTTATGTTTTCCAGCACAAGCTTAGACACTGGTCTAAAGCAGGCAATTTCTCTTGGGGATTCCCGGCCAGAGCACCCCAATCTCAAACTAAAGCAAATGAAAAAAAAAAAAAAAAATCACATCCCAAAACATTTCCTTGGTGGAGTAAATACAAGGAAGTGGTTTTTCATTGCCTTTATATAGAGACCTGGGTGTCCAGATTGAGATCCCCAAAGGCAGGTCTAGGGTTGACCAATATGTATGTATGTATGTATGTATGTATGTAAGTATGTATTGGGTAAAAGCCTCATTGCCCTTGAGAACCTACACCTAGTTAGCCCGCCATTCGTTTTTTCAAAGGCTATATAAACTACACAGGAAAAGATTGGCCGTCTTCCACCCGAGAAGAGCTGATATATTCAAATCTGTGTTTGGTTTGGTGGCAACTCCTTAGCACTAGGCAACCAGAGGTTCCTAGCTGTATAATGTTGTTGTTGTTGTTGTGTACCATTGAGTCGGAACTGAGGAGATTGTCCATCCTTCTCCCAAGGAGCAGCTGGTGGACTTGAACTGCTTATTTTCAGGATTGCAGCATGGCTTCTTGCCACTAGACCACCTTTGATATGTATTGATAAGGGGAGGAGGGGAATCCCAGTGTGCCCCCACCTTTTTTCCATTTTGGTGACTTTAGTCAACTCCTGTTATAAATACATAGGATTTGTAGGTTCACTTCTCTGTTGTTGTTGTCTACTTCTATAGATTTATAGAATTCAACTAGAGGAATCACAGTCCTGTAAAACGATGATAATGACTCTAGTTATCCAACTTCTTTTGACTTTGGCAGTCATGAAGGAACAAAAGGCCTAAAATAAATGGAAGTGTAAATGGAAGCTATGTATCTCGGAATGCTTAACTCATAAATCAAGCCAATAAACCTTAAAAATGTCTTCCTGGCTTCACAAAGATACCTTTGCACAACTTTGGAAAACAGGTCACATTTTGATCCTTCACAGTGTGACCTCGGTTGATGAGTATGATGTAATTGGAGAGAACTAGTTTCCAGCCCTGACCCCATCTCTTCTCACTTCCACTTCAATCATTAATATACAAAAACCTTCATGCAAGCATGTGGACACCACAATACCTCCAGTATTCTTCAATAGGCCCCTCTGGACTGCAATTGGAGTCCATATCCACACATGCCAGTGGTCTGTTTAATGTTCAGGGAAGACTCAGAGAATAGGCCTATCCCAGCCCTAGAGGAACTCTGAGGTCTTTAGAGCAAGGAATTCCGAAAATTTATGTACTCGGGCAAGGGAGGTCTGGAGGCCTAGTGGTAAGAAGCTGCACTGCAATCCATCCTGAAGGTAAGCAGTTCAAATTCACTAGCTGCTCCATGGGAGAAGGATGGGCTAGCTCCTCCCATGCCATTGGATGGTCAGCTATGGGTCAGTTCCAACTCAAATGGCACACAACAATGTGGTACTCAAACAAGACATAGAAAAGCATAAGTGAAGACCTAGAATTAAGGATGATAGGAGACAATGAACAGAACTTAGCCTTCAGTCTCATCATTTTTAAAATAGCTAGAGTAAGCAAATGCCCTTTACTTTTCAAACACTTCCAGGCAACACTACTTAAACATGTATGAATACATTGGGAGTCTTCAATTCATCACTTGGATGATTCAAGCCTCAGGAGGGAAAGGGCCCCTGACACAGTCCTCTGAGCTGTGTCCATGTAGCATGCCATGTGAGTTTGGGACGTAACAATGGCTTTGTAGTTCTTCAACAATGGTACTAGGTAGAAGTACATACAGCATAAGAGTTCAGACCTATCAAAGCCTACCAGGTCAGAGGTGGCCAGTAGATAGTTGTTGGGTTTGGTTGCCATAGAGCAGATTAAACTCACAGCGATTCTATGAACAGCAGATCTGAACCTTGCCCTATCCTGCGTCATCTGCGTGGTCTCCAGCATGCTCATGTTGTAGTCACAGTTTTTAAGTTCCTCACCCACAGCACAGATAATCATGGAAGAGTCATCACGTGTGATTGGAGGGCTTTCTCCAACTGGAGAGTTGGATGCTCAGAAATGAATCTGAATTTGTTCTGCTGTGCTTCTGCTTTTTGCTTCAGATAATAGAAGCTAATTATCATGTGCTGATACTCCAGAAGCACTTAGTGTGTTCGAGTGCTGATGGGAAGAATGTGATGTTCATAATGCAATCACATGTAATGGTTAGTTCCCTTTGCTGACAGGTACCTGGCTTCTCAGAAATCAAGGACAACTAGTGAGTTCTTCACAACTTTGGAATGTTTTCTAGTGCATGACCTCTTAGCACCAAGGACTTCTCACCCTCAGGAAGGTCTGTAGCTTGAGGAAGGTTATACTTTATCTTCTCAATACAGGACAGTCATCCCCTGGCATCGTTCAAATCCTGGTTACGATGGTGGGATGACATCAAATGTGACTGTACCACATGATCTGAAAATCAGGTAAAGTCTTTTTGCCTCTGTTTCTTCATCTGTGAAATGAGGGGATTTAGAGGCTCTATTTGCTTCACCCAGCCCTTCAATTGGATGGACTGTCTGCAGCATTAAGCTCAAGTATGTCAACAATGATGAGGATAGCACAGGATTGGAGAGAATTCAGATCTGTTGTTCATAGGGGTGTTATGGGTCCTACTCAACAGCACCTAACAAGAACAACTTGCCTCAGAGAGGTGTTAGAAAGGTCAGTTTTGTGGAAACCTCTGAGCTCCTTGGAGAAATGGCTCTATAAATAGAAAGGTTTTACTATTCATGTCATTTCAGGTACCCGTCATGGGCTAGACAGTTTTTCAAAATTTCAAAACTCCAAGGTTAGCACAAAGTTAAGAGGAATTTTTCTGACTCTCCATATGTAAAGGAAAAGACCTCGTGCAGCATATTTGAGTTCCTAACCTAAAGATCGGTGATTTAGATTTACCTGCTACAACACGGGGGTTTAGATTTACCTGCTACAACTCTCTTGGCGCCAGCAGCCAGGAAATTAAAAGACGTATTGCAATGGGAAAGTCTGCAGTTAGAGAACTCTCTAAAGTATTGAAAAGCAATGATGTCAGTCTGGAGACCAAGGTGCACCTGATACAGGCCATGGTCTTTGCAATCACTTGCTATGTATCAGAAAGCTGGACAATGACTAGGGATGATAGGAGAAGAATTAGTTACCTGTGAGTTGTGGTGCTGGAGAGGAATATTGAATATACCATGGGCTGATAAGAAAATGAGCAGGTTTGTTCTGGAGAGGGTAAAGCCAGGCTGCTCCTTGGAGGCAAGGATTCTGAAGCTTCATCTGACATACTTTGGACATTTTGTAAGGAGGGACCAGTCCTTGGAGAGGGACGTCATGCTTGGGAGGGTGGAGGGACAACACAAGAGAGGAAGACCCTCGATGAGACGGATTGATTCTGTGACTGAGGTAGTGGAGGTAGGTATGTCAGAGACAATAAGATTGGCACAGAATAGAGCAGGGTTTAGGGTTTTTGTACATAGGGTCGCTATGAGTCACAAGCGACTCGACGGCACATAACAACAACAACAACCACATGGAGCAAAGATGGGCATCTCCTCCTAGAAAGATTTACAGCCTAGGAGGCAAGATGAAGAATTGTCAAAAGTTGAAATAAAACTTGACAGCATTGCTTGTGGTTTTGATTCCACGTGTAAAGGCAGAGAAGGTGTTAACGTTTTTAGTGTGTTTTAGGGGAGTGACTGAGTCTCCCTGAGTCCCATAACCTATGAGGATGCTTAAAATCCTACCACTGAAATGATTCATTTAAAATCTTAAAAGCTGTGGTTTTTAAGAGTAGTCCTAAAATGTTACATTGAAGATTGCAGACTTCAATATAGATTATATGTCAACATTCAGAAGGAAGAAAAATAAATGCTCACCACCAGGCCGGTACGTAACATGATGACAAATGGAGAGAAAAAATGAGGTTACCCATTTGGTACCAGCAGTCAAGAAATCACAATTTGCTGTCAGAGATCTTTCCAAGTTACTGAAGAGCAATGATGTCAGTTTGAAGACTAAGGTGAGCCTGCTTCAGGCCATGGTCTTGCCAATCACATGCTATACATCTGAGAAGTGGACAATGAATAAGGATGAAAGAATACTTCTTTTTCATTAAAACTAATAAAATTTAATAAAAAAAATAAGGATGAAAGAAGAATAATCAATGTCTTTGAGTTGTGGTGCTGAAGCAGAACACCGAATATCCACCGATGCCAAAGAACAAACAGCTATGTCTTGGAGAAGGTGCAACCAGAGTGATTTCTAGAAGGAAGTGTGGCAAAGCTTTGCCTTTCATACTCTGGGCATTTTGTTAGGAGAGGTCATTCCTTGAAAGGACACATCATGCTTGGTAATATGGAGGGTAAATAAAGGGACAAAGATCCTAAATGAGATGAACTGACACAGTGACCCCAGTTTGAGTTTATCTGAAAGATGAGAATGGCACAGTGTAAGATAGGGATCAGATCTGTCGTTCATAGGTTTGCTATGAGTCTTTTTGGACTAGTTGACACATAATAATAAGACTAATACTCTGAATACATTTGCATTTGAATAGATTTGTAGACACACCTTGGACTTTTGAATAAAGATTTTACATTTGAAAGAAAGACAAACAGAAAAA